CGGTGGCGTGACTGATGCTTCCTTGACTCAAGATGGGGTCTTGGCTCCGAGTGATGTCTGACCGTTGCTGCATGGACAGAAGCAGTTGGATTAGTCAATTGTAAAGAACCAACTCTTGAACGGCACACTTGGATCTCTTTCAACTGAGATTGGCCTGCTTCACAAACAGTAATGCTATCAATCACTTTAGCTAGTTTGAGCTCTTCATTTTTGATAGTGAACAACACTTGTTGTAAACTTTGATCATGTAGATTGTGAATGATAGAGTCCATGATAAGCATTTTCTTGAATTCCTCTTTAGTTTCAGGCAATCCACATCCATCAATTTTAGATTCAAGTCTTGCTATGAATTGATTGATATCTTCATTTTGATTTCTAGTCATTTGATGAAACCTGAATCTTTCAAAGGAATGATTCGTTCGGGGCTTTATGTTCACATCAATTAACGCAGTTAGCAACTTGACATCCTTCCTTTGCTCCTCTGTCGCATTCGCATACAGGTACTGACATTCTAAACCGATAATATGCATGAGAGCCTCCGCTCGCTTTTCTGCACTCCATTTGGATCGAATGTTATCAAACTCAACGAACCCATGGAACCTCCATTTCATGACCTTCCATTGATGCTCCAGGTCATCTCCCGGAGTAAGGGGCTGGATGGCATCGCCCATCTTATCACAGCTATCACAGTCTAATCAGGTCTTATCACAGTATTATCAACTAAACCCCCCTGCACACGTGGACTCAGCAAGGGCTGTGCGTGTCCGCGCCGGTAGCTCCGTCACGCACCGTCGTGCTGCAGCAGCTTCACCACACGGCCCACCAACGTCACTCTTCTGATCACACCAAGGTACAGAGTTCACAGCCACTCACTTTTAGATAAAACTCCTACTTCATTGCGCCATGTCGTGTTCCGATCTGATGCAAGTTCTGTTAGGCAGAGGGTGTGAGGGTAACAAGTGAGTACACTCTGGATTTCCACTGAAGACTGGTTTATTGGCACGACAGGTTGTTCTTTTATAGACAATAACAAATGACGACAAATGACAAGTGCAGGTGTGCCAATATTGCATACACAACAATCATACTTTGGTAATATACTTGTAACACCATGACCCGATGTACTAACCATCTGCTTCTTGATCATCACCAATAGGATTGAGAGCATAAATACCATTTAATTGGTTAGGATAATGCCCAATGTTGTTGTCATCTGAAACATGTCAGATTAAAAAGGTTAGAATATGCAAGTATTCTACTCAAATCAGAAATATAGAATAGGAACTTGTATCAACCTCCGTGAATGTGCATCTGGACAATATTATCATTTAGATTTGGATTTGCATCTATGTCGTCGTTACCATCTAGGAAATAGATACATTAAATTAAAATACGAGCTTTTCATCAATTCAACACCATGACTCGAGAACTTGAACGAACCATCTTCCTCCGCTTTCCACATTTGAATTTGACACATTTGGAATAAAGTCATCATCCCCATCTTAAAAAGAAACGAGTTATGTTACAGAACATTCAAATGTATATCCATTGAAATTTGTTGAGAATTATTTCTAAACTTACTTTCAGACCCTTGATTTTGATTGTCAACATTTGGTTCAAGTTCGAGGTCAGACGCCAGACTTTCATTAATTTGATTAATTATATCCCCTACATCTATCATAGAAAACTCAAATTAAACATCAATTCCATATTGCACAAAAATAAGAAATGTCTAGTAATATTAATACTTACTGTTGTGAAGTTCTTCGACTTCAGGGATTTCTGGGTCGGGGTCTAACATCAACCTCCTAGGCTCAGGCTCAGCTTCATAAGCTTCATCAGAGTCGCTGTCTTCATCTCCCGTCTGTCCAACTCCCCATCTCCTCAAAAGTCTACACCGCTTAGCTCTAGATTTTGAGTCCATTAAAAGTTAAATAAATAATAGTTGAAAGATTATACTTCAAGTCAGTCTGTACAATTTGGTCAGAGCACCGCCCGCTTGAATCCACTGGACTGGCCTCGGCGAGTCGGTCACACGGCGTCGGGGGAGGGGAGCTAGAAGCTAGAAGCTAGTAAAAGAAGCCTAACAAAAAGAACAGCAATGACCATTCCCGGCCGAGTCGACGCGTCGAAGGCGTTGAAGCCGTTGAAGATACATTTTCGGAAATGTACCCGCAAGCCTTACAACCAAGCATCCAGCACCTTTTCACATATCTGCTAGTCAGCTGATGTGCTCTGAGAAGTCTGATGTCTTTTTCTTGTGGTGGTTGTGTGTGAGTGTGATCATGTCGAGTGTGTTGGTATTTTGGATGGGCGACCAGCAAACCAGCATTGTGAAGCTTCAGAATGTTCCTGAGGGCGACCGGGAACCCGGGAAGGTCGCTTATGTTTTGTGGCAAGATGGGCAATCGTACCACGCCTTTCAAAACTGTTGTTGAGTTCAAAGATGGAGGTAACAACAAATCAGACCAGTGGTTGGCAGCCATGAATGGGCTCATTACTGCTAAGACACCAGCTTCCATTGTGTTCTATGACAAGTGTGGGATGGCCAACAAAGTCGACGTTCTTCGTTTTGGTGAAGGTACTTATCCAATTCTGTTCAGGTATGTGGGTGCATTGGCTGCTTTGGCTACCTCAGCCCGTGCAGACCGCTTAGGCTGTTTTGCGGCGCTGCCCCCAAAGAAGAGAAAGGTTCCCATCAATCCAAGAGATTGTTGGCTGATAATTCCTATAAGACCATCTACTGTTAATTGTGGCTATAAATGTTCACCACTCATTGTCTTATTAGAATTGCAGATGATGAATGTGCATCGGTCTGCTCTAAATTCACGCCATCAGAAGAGGTTCAGGAGCTGGCCGTCGCCGCCCCTGTTGATGACGAGGCAGCGAATGAGGTGTGTGTGTGTGTGTGTAAGTGTGTGTGTGTGTGTGTGCTTGTGTTTGTTTAGCTCTTAACTCAAGTTGTTCGTGTTCCAGGCGTGTGTGAGGGTCTCAACTGCCTCGGCTAGAGTGTTTACACCCCCTGCCCGAGCGCCTGTGGCGCAGGCTGTGGGGCAGGTGTATCAATGTCTCCCCCCGCCGACCCTGCACCGGTAGTCGCTTTGGTGATAGGCCACCAACAGTTGGCCAATCCCGTGCAGATTGTGAGTGTCGAAGTTATGTTTACTTATAAGATTCTCGGAAATGACAGCTGTTCACTAATGATGTATTTTCTTGTCTACAGGTTGAGCCTCATCATGAGAGAGGACAGGTGGCGGGCGGAGGACAAGGCGCAGCCAACGCACCCCGTGGAGCGCGAGGTGGAGGACAAGCGCACAGAGGACGTGGTGGAGTCCGTGGAGGGCGAGGCGGAGGACAGGCCGCAGCCAACGCACCCTGTGGAGTGCAAGGTGGAGGACAGGCGCACGGAGGACGTGCCTCCCTGATGAGCCGACGGACAGAGCTCACGGACAGCGGCTGCGGACTACAGGAGGACAATTTGAGGACATGTCCACTGGTATGTCCATGAGTTGTCCGTGGCCCCAGTCCGAGGATTAAAACGTCCGTGGACTTGTCCGCAGCCGTCCGCAGTCACCCGAGATCCTATCCGTGTCCGCCATAGTCCGCAAAACTGTCCACGATGATTGTCCGTGTAGCTGTAGCTGTCCGGGATGGTTAAA